TCCAGGTAGACGTGGTGGTCGCTCAGTGCCTTGTACACGGCTGCCAGTACCTGGGGGGACACAGGCAGCAGGGAGGCCCCTGGCGTCATGCAGCACTGTCCAGCGCCCGCCCCAGTGACCACCACGCTGCGTCACTCACCTTCTCCGTCACATACTGGCACCGCTTGAGGTCATGGTCACCGTCTGGCAAGATCTCTGGCTCCACAATGGGCACGATGCCGTTCTGCAAGGCACCAGGTGATGCCATCATGGGGAGGGTCCCGGGCATCACCCTGGCTGTGGGGCCCTGTGGGGTGATGCCTGGCCCCGGGGGGTGATGCCCAGGCCCATGGGGTAATGCTCAACCCCGTGACAACGCCCAACCCCATTGGTGATGCCCAAACCCATGGGGCAATGCCCGGTGTCACGGGCAATGCCCGGTGTCACAGGCAATGCCTGTCCCCATGGGGTGATGCCCATCTTCATGGGGTGATGCCCAACCTTGTGGGTCCCAGCCTGGCCCCCTGGACACCAGCCTGGGCACGTACCTGCTGGCAGATGCTGGCATAGCGGGCCAGCACGTTGGCGTTCTCCATGATGGCAAGGGTGGAGGGGGTGTTGTCGCTGATTTTCAGCACGCAGCGCCACTTGGCAAAGTCGGCGCCGTCCTTCTTGTACTGGGCACAGCGCTCGGACAATCCATCCAGGCCTGTGGGGTGGCCCGTCAGTGTGGCATCCCAAACCTGGCATCCCCAAACCGCACATCCCCAAACCCTGCACCTTCAGACCTGGCACCTCCAGACCCAGCATCCCCAAACCTAGCACCCCAAAGCCAGCACCTCCAGACTTGTCACCTCCAAACCCCACACCTCAAACTGAGCACTCCAAACCTGGCACCCCAAACCCAGCACCCCCAAACCTGGCACCCCAAGCCCGGCACCCCAACCCTCCCATGCCACGTACCCTGAGTCGTGGTTTCGCCATCCGTCCCAGCCAGGGGCACGACACCCTTGTCCACCTGTAAAGGGACCGCCCCAGCCAGGGGCACGACCCCCTTGTCCACCTGTAAAGGGAAGGGGAAGGTGGTGCTGAGCCTCCACCGAGCCCCCACTGCGGCGTCCCCCCCACCCCACAGCTAGCTGCAAACAGCCGGCGTGCCGGGGTCCTGCCACGCACCTTAATGCCCACAACGATGCCCTTGTCCTTGATCATCTGGACGAAGGGGGTCCCGTCATCAGCCTTCTGGTACATGGTCTCGTGGAAGAAGATGACACCACCGATGCACTTCTTCACCCGGCTGTCGGCGCTGAAGAGGACCTGGCGGTACAGCCGGCGGTTCTCCTCCGTGTTCTCCACCCCGATCTGGTTGAGGCGCTTGGCCATGCTCCCTGCGGCAGCGACACCCCCGTGAGCCCCCCGGCCGGGCAGGCACACGATGGCCGATTTCAGGGAAAAAGCAGGGGATAGCACCGGCCGGAGGGACAGTGGCTCCCAACTGACCTACGGACTCATCGGCAGCCAGGATGCCCTTGCCCGGGGCCACGATGCGCAGGGCGATGTCCGACAGCTCCTTCTTCTGCTCGGCCGTCAGCGCGGGGTACTGGTGCGTCATGGTGGGGCCTGCGC